TAGGTTTGTCACGACGAACTGAAAGCAATCTAGTTGCGTACAGGAAATTTTGCGTCGGGGAGTTGTGTGCCGCAGGCAGCAGCTTCCCGTATCTGCACTGATCAGGATTCCCCGTAAAATTTCCGATGGAATGAGCTTTGCCTACACGTGAAAGGGGTCCGACCCGTACTTTTCTAAGAACATGCAAGTTAACGTCCGTTTCAGTGTTGTCATTTAGGCTGCGAAGGAAACCTATCACATGTAGACTCATTTGATCGAGAATTTTACAAGGAATCCGATGGCCATCGGTCGATGGTAAAAATCGAAAATTTCAAAGCAATTTTTGATTTTGCAAAATCTCAAATCGAAATTGCGTCATTATCTGGTTAAGATAGACAGGCGCCATTACGCAGTTTTTAGTCGACAAAGCATGTGAGGTGAAAGATATGAGGTGTCGTCGAGGAGTTCAGAAACAATTCCCGCAGAACGAAATTCTGTTGGATTAAAGTGACAAACATTCTAAAATTTTAAAAAGAATACATTTTAAAAAGACTTAATATTCGCATTGGCATGTAAATATTGCCTGGGTAGGGGTAGGAAGCCAGAAGGGTCAGCGACAGCGACGTGGTGACAGAGTGGAGAGGAAGGAGAAAATTGGCACCCCTCGCTCGGTGATCGGGTCGCAGGTGTGGCGGCGAGCCACTCCCATTTGGCTTGGGTCTGCTCGTGAGGCCTCCGGGAAGGGGAGCAGGCGACAGCCACGCTCACGCACATCATTATCTGTAAGAGATGGGATCTATAGAGGAGCCCTTGCACCTGCACTGCACGATTGTCAGGTCGGGGCATGCCCCTCTACGTTACATGATCTACAATCAGAACGGCACGCTTTGTACACTATACAAAAAATGTATCATCTGCTAAAAAGCATTATCATTGCAAATGCAAAGCATTTTTAGCAGCATACAAAGTTTTGCTTTGAAAATTGCAAAAGTATCGCTTGTGCATAAGACACGATGTAGAAAGACATTTCTTTTTCTACATCGTGGTATAAGACTGTGTATGATACAACGAGTGGCCTAAATACAAAAGAGGCAAACAAAGTACCCTAAGTACGGATATAAAGAATAAGGTGAGCGACAGCAACAAGACGAGGCAAGCGCGAAATACTGACGAGCGGGAAAGGTCAACCACGTCCCGCAACGGAGTGGAGCCGGGGGAACGATACAATGTGACGTAGAGATATGACTTATAAAGAGATGGGTAATCACCCGGATGCCAGGCTAATAGAGCGGCAGTCACGCGCTGTGCGTTGTGGCCCGGGGTTTTGTGGGGCTCCATGACATCCCCTATCGGTTTCCGATGCTGTCGATTGTCACTCCCAGTCCTCTCTCGCCCATCTCTTTCTGTTCCTCACCGCCGCCCCTCCCCCGCCTCTGGTCGTGGGAAAGGCAACAGGCGGAGGCCGGCCGTGGCTCTGGGACAAGGACAAGAAACGCGCGGCCGCGGGGCGAGAACGCACGCGTGGCGCCCTTGAACGCCTGCGAAGTCAAGGGTAGGCAACCTGCAATCAGTGCTGCGCGACGGGATTGCCTCCCCCGCCGGTGGCAGGGGCTTCGTTAAGGTCGCGGACACAGAGCCATCCGAACGCGGGGGGTGTTATCGGCCGATAACGCCGACGTTTACCTTTTCCCAGTACGAACTTTTGACACTATTTTGCAAATATGAGTCCAAAATGGCGGCACGGAACAGCCGCTTGGCTGGTGGGATGGGAGGGCAACATTATGGGACCGCTACAGGAACACATGGCAGGAGACCCACGGTGGTGGGAGAGGTTGAGGGGGTGGGGGACAGGAGAGGGGTGAGCCTCCGGCAGAGGCAAGGGTGGGGAGGTGCAGTGGTCACGTCGGTTGGCTACAGTGGCCTGTCCGTTTTTCGACTTTCCCTACTTTTTGTGTACTCGACTCGCGTAATGTGGCAGAAGAGATGGGAAGCGGATCAGTACGTGACAAGCCCGCTCTAGCCCGCCACATCCCGCGTTATTTATGAACAAACATTAGAGTTTTCTTGTTTTTTTGTGTGTGTGGAGGTAGTGGAGGTAAAAGTTGAACCAGACAGACACAAAACACCACCGCAAACGTTTTTGTTAATATAGACGCAACAAAAACTAATGTGGTATTATAAGGCGTCATAATTTTTACCGGTTATACTTGAAGGCTTTTTTGTTTATCTATGAAAACAATCTATGTCGTTCGAGATATTTCTTCTTTTTCATCCGCTGTTTCCCTTCTTCTCATCCTTTTCTCCCTCTCAGTCTGACTGATGACTAGAGTGCGGACGGGGTCTGTCGAGACCTCCGCTCCGCCCCGCGCCCGACGCCAGGGTCCTGGGGGAGGCACTCCCACAACTACAATAACAAGCGGGGTACACAACACCACCGCCACCGCAATCCCCTTCCCCTCCCCCGCTACTCATCAGCCCCGTCTTGGCGACACAGTTTCACCCCAACTTTCACAACGCGCCTGCCGAGCATAAGGGTGGAGGGGGCATTTAACATTTTAAACCAGTCCGTACATGGAGGCATAGCGCCGCATTGCACTGTTAACAAAAAGTGTGAGGAGGCAAGAATACCATCAAATGAAAAGTCCTATCGAAACTAATCTTTTTATAAACAACGCTCTGAAAATCCAACAGGCCACAGAATAAATCAGCATGCTTGTATCCAAGCACTGTTAGATTTCCAAAGTGACTGCTAGCTCAGCGGAAGAACTGGACCCGACTGGACCGCATGATCAGGTTCTACCACTTTCCTCACTAATCTCTGCCTCGTCAGTCATGGACGTTCGTTGTTCCCCTCAATAACGATACATTTTGCACATTGCTCGCAGCAGGACACTCACCATTGCCGAATCTCCTTCTCGGAAACTGCAACAGGAAAAAAAGTACAGAACAGTTAATAGAATTCATTTGCCACATAGTGAAGAGCGTGTCCCCAGGCCATGACTAATTTCGTTTCTTTGTAAAAAAAAGAAATATCACATTGCCTTCTTTCTTGTTTGAAGTGCAAATCAACTGATAATGGTGAAACATGGTTCAGAATTGTAATTGGATCAAAAATGTCTGCGTGCAAATTTTAAAACCCACCGACGCCCTCTGTACTCCATTCCATTCTGCGATCCATTTGCCCCCGAAACTGGCCATTTGTAAACAAAATGCCGCAAACATTTGCTGCTTATTGGCCGTCGTTAGCCAGCAGCTAGGCCAGCAGCAGCAGGAGGGTGACGACGGTCGACACGACGCGATCACATTAAGCACGGAGGGCGAGGCGACCAGACCACCGTCGTCGACTCCGACTGTACGTATATACTGTCTCTCGCTTTGACCCCCCCCCCCCCTCTCTCTCTCTCTCTATTTCCCACGGCGGCGGTCTCCGTATCCCCACACATGATTCGATTTAGAAGTGAAACCATACCCTCCCCCTCCGTGCCGTCTCCAGGCCGGCCACAACCCCGAGGCGAACAAGGGCGGATGCACAGTCGGTCGCTCTGGCCGTGGACGACTGGCCGTGGACGACCCGCCCTGCTCCAGCCCGGCCTCCCCCCTGTCCTCGATATTTTAAAGGTCCTGAGGGAGGCGAGGCGACGCGAACGGGCCGGTTGGGCCATCCAACCCAACACCAATACTCTCTCTCTCTCTCTCTCTCTCTCTCTCTCTCTCTCTCTCTCTCTCTCTCTCTCGCACAGACAGACACACACACACTGCTGATGTGACAACAAGGGACGCCCGCACGCCACTTTATAGACTCCGGGGAGATTTGTATATCAAACCATCGAAATAGGGATGGTGGTGGTGACGTCGTGGGGCGCTGTTGAGTCGGTATAGGAAAACTGCAAGATTTACTGCTTGATTTACAAGACATCATTTTTACCGTGGTTAGCGACACTGAATGCGGCTCCATGCAGCCCGCCCAAACAGGCTCGGCCGCTCTGTTCATCTGGCGTGACCCTCTTTCTCCATACAGTTCAGGGCCTCCTTTCACTCATTGCCTCGTAATTTATATGAGGAGGGACCGCACGCTGCCCTCTTATAGCAAATGGGTTTGGGGCTGGACGGGTGGGGGTCGGACAGCTTTTGACGACTCTCTAGGCGCACAGAGCGTGCGAGCGGCCGTCTTCATATGAGAATTCTTTGATCTTTACGGAGAGATGGAGTTGGTTCGAAACGGAGGAAATGGGGAGAACGCGAGGAAAAGGCCGCTAGCCAAAGGCAAAAGGACAAGGTGAGGACAGAGAGGAGAAAAGAAGAGGCAGCGGAAAAGGGCTAAACGATAAAGAGACAGAGCGCACGAAGCGCGGCCGGAGGGGAAAGAGAGAGGCGGGCCATCTAGAGCAAATGGCGATCACGCGAAATAGAACACTCGCACCGCCTCCGTGCTGCTGTCCGTATAGAATGGCCCTGGTGGGCCCCCTCCCGGACGGGCCACCAGGCAGCTGGCCGTCGGCGAGGTGGGGCAGCGGTGGGGCAGCGGGCGCAGCGGGAGAGAGAGAGAGAGAGGGGGGGGGGGCACTCAGGAGTAAGAAAAAGGAGACGACCACCTCACCTTCCCCGATCCGACCCACCCCGCACACTCCCTTACACACGGCGGCTGGCTTGTTGGTGCGGCTAGCAGCGGTATCGTCAATGCACGGGCTGTCGGGCTCGCTCACGAATGCCGCCATGGCCATGGCTGCAGCCGCGAGCCAGCGACAAGCCGCTGACCCGAGCCCGAGCCGTGGTTTCGGGCTCGGTCTCGCCTCAGGCACGCACCGCAGGTGAGGGTGGCTGTGGCTGAGCGGGGCGAGCCGGGATCGGGCTGGCACATCCCAAAAGGTTCGGGCCGTGCTGCCGACTGATTCAGAGGACCGCTCTCCTCGCTCTGTCTCTCTCGCACGCATGGAGCGCGCAGTATGGGTGCGAGAGAGACATAACGAGGAGAGCGATCCTCTGAATCAGTCGGCTGTGCCCGTTCAAAAGTACTTAGTTCTTCGGGCAGGAAGGTGGACTGCCAGCCCGTGCGTTGACAATCTCTGGCG